TCAAATCAGTATTGGTTTTGGATTAATATTCCCAAGCAGGTCTAGTTATTGCAGAACTCTTTCTTTCTTCTTAGCAGAGTGGCTCATCTACAAGATCTGGATTTCTGATAGGCAAAGCTGCTGTTAGCTTCAGCCAGGGATGTTCGTACCTCCAAGACACAAGCCATTCCTCTTCCCACATCTGCTGGATGATTTCACTGTTACCTGTCTTCATCCAGTGGGTAGGCAGCAACCACCGGCTGTGGTAGTGAATGCCTGGTTTGCTCCTATAACTGTTCCTACGTGTTTTAGAGAAAAATGAAGCTGCTCTGGGAGTTTAAAGTTCCCCTCTAGAGAAGGCAGCTGTGTTTTGTGGTGGTCTGGAAGGAATCGATGGTTGAACGGCAGTGCCAGCCGGTTTTGGAGCTGCTCTGGGTTGCACCCGGTTGCTGGAGAAGGCTTTCACCTTCATTTTAAAAACACGCAATTCCACCCACTATCTGTTTCATCTCCTCATGCTCTTTCACAACGCTGCATGAGTACAGCAAGCCTTGTGATTAATCCTGCTCATGCTGATACCAGTTTGCCATGGGAAATTTTCTTAAAATGAAAAATTCGTACCAGTAGTTGTTTTTTTGTTTGTGTTGTTTATTTGTTCGGGTGTTTTTTTTGTGTATGTGTTTTCCCCTATATACATTGACCATGCAGATTCAGCTTTTATTACTGCTCTCGATGGAAACAAGTTTGAAAAGTATAGGTCTCACATACCTGATTTTTTGTGTTTTATCTATTAATCGCATGTACTCAGTGTTCAGAAATTCCCTTTTCCTCTAGAGGCTGTTGGTAAGTCATTCTGGTAAAATGTTTGTTGTCTCCTGTTGTGCTCATCCTGGACGGAGCAGGATGCTCGGGATGCACAGGGGTCTGTGGGGGTGATTAAGGCTTAGGGCCGGGATGTTTGTACTTCATCCGTGGGTTGTAAACCCATCCTTGGCAGGGCTGTTGGGAGGACTTGGAGTGCCCTCTTGTGATGAGCCTCTGGCTGAAGCAGCAGTTCTCCACGTCTTCTGAAACCTCTTGTGTTATCCTTCTCCGTCCCACCTTCTGCCCCATCATCCCTGTTTCTTCGCAGCTGCACCTGCCAACGTGGAAACCCTCTTCTTTGTCTTTCAGCTCTGCTTGTGAAAATATGGTACATTTCACCACGAGGTCTGGCATGTGGCAAAGCTTGTCACTACTTTTGGAGTCCAAACCAGACTCTGTCGCCTCCTTGCAAACAGCAGCTACTCCGTAGAAATCCTTCCCACTGAGGCACATTGAGGTCTTTCTCCCTTTTCGAGGCCTGCTATCAGAGATGGAAAGGAGGTTACTCCACCCCTGCCCTAATCAGAAGATCTAAAAAAATGTATTTAGTATTATTATACATCCCCTTCCTGCTGCTGGGTGAGGTGCAGAGGAGGTGGAGGGGTTTGTGCGGTGGCGCCTCTCGGGGGAACTTCAGTGAAAATGAGGATAAATGAGTGCGGGAGAAAGATGGATGGTGGTTTGGTGGGTGGGAGCGTAACCCTGCAGCGCAGGAGATACTCTCACTTACGAAAGTCCCGTAACAGAGCTGTGGCAGAGCCAGAAGATGGTCTTCCAGCCCCACGCAGGCAACAGCAGCCACCCCACAGGAGACCATGGGTGGTTACGCTTTTTGGGCGATGCAAACCCGCTGTGCATCTCACTGCCTCTGCAGCTCATCCCTGAGCGGGCTGAGGTGTGAAATGAGCCCCAAACCACGATGTTCTCCTCACACCGCCTCTTGCCTGTTGTTAAACGGGGAGTTGTGTTTCTAGGATAGTAAATTTTCACTTTGCATGGGTATTAGGTGTCTGTTCCAAAGAAAACAGTGGGAATCTTTCTTCTGACTTCAGTGTTGGTCCGAAGTCCCTTGCATCTGGTTTGTATGTCAGAAGAAAACAATTCTCTCCTTCCCCATTGCTTTTTAATTTTGTAAATACTCTGAGCTCCCAACAAGTTTTGAGTCCTGCACACACAGAGACAATTTTGTTCCCAGATTTTTTGCTTCCTATCAGGATTTTAAGGTTGCAGCACACAATTCTTTAAAACACCGTGACTTTAAATTCTGTAACCTTGCTTTATTACAAGGCATATATTTGCCAGAGCAAAGAAGAATTTGGGTTAAAGGACAGTAGATATTTCCATTTCCTTATTTCCAAGGGGTGTTGCAATACCTCCCGATGTAAAATTCCCTGCAAAGGAGTCTGCGTCACGGTGTGTCGACATTGTGCCACAGAGGGGCAGGACGAGATTCTCTGCTGAATAAAATTTGCTGTTGTGGAGATCTATAAGCCCTTTGTCTCATAAGATGCTTATTAACTTGGGTAGTTTCAGGCTGACTGGATTTCACAGTATTAAAATAGATAACGATTGCAGTGTTTATTATGGAATAATAAGCTTAGGACAAAAGCTTTTGCTAATGCGAAGCACTTTGCGTTGGACAGGCTCTGTCTGACAGGGAGACATTGCCATCTCTTGGGCAGGTGCAGATAGAACATAGACTTTGTTTAAAACCTACAATAATTAAAAGCCTGGTAGCGTAGCTGAGGACTGAGAAAGGGCTGAGTCTGTCACTGAGTCCAGTATCCCAGTATTTGAGCCGATGCTGTTCATACAGATACATCTTAATACAGATACATCTTAATACTTAATACTTAAAACGTCTGAATACAAATCTCCTTGCCATGATATTATCCAAAATACAATTTTACAGTCCACAGTAATCAGAAATCAGAAACACAGCTCGTTATCTCTGGTTGTAGTTACCAGGTTGATATCCCTTAAATATTGCAAGCTGTGACTCATTTCCTCTCAAATTATGAGACTGGAAAAGTTTAAATATAATTACATTTGGGATTATTGTCATTTACCTCCTAGAGCCTGAGCCTTTTTAACACGGGGCTCAGAACTGACTTTTTAAAATGAAATCTGCAATTTTCTGCAATCACGGGGTTTTAGGAGATTAAGCTTTAAGAGTACTAAATATCATAAGTCTCGTGGCAAAACTATGAGGGTTGCAGTATTGGTGCCTGACTTGCTTCTTGACACTGTAGCTCCCTTTTTAAAAGGAAGGTGCGTAGGCATAATCTCCTGATTTTAATTAAATTTTATGTGTCGGAAGGGAAAGTGGCAGGTGTATGGAGCTAGAGAGACCCTCTGTGAAATAATTAGATGAAAACTGATAATATTTGGCTTAATCCACAGGGCTGGCGTAAAGGTTCTTAGAAAACAACATCTGCCCTTTGCTGATTAATAGGCGGCTGCTGTGTTAGTGATCCCGGAACACACCTTTGGTAAAAGTTGCCTCTTCTAATTGTAAAAAAAACTTCCTGAAACTTGGCAGTTTGCCAAGTCAATTTTATTTGTCTGTGGAACTTTATGGGAACTTTATATATATGAGAATAATTGCACCTGATCCAAGTACAACAGCAGCTGCATGGCCAAATCTTTCCTGATTTCTGTAAAAAAAATTAATAAAATAATTGAATATTAGAGTATGAATTTTTAAACAACGGTGGTTCACAATTTTTGACAAAGTTTTGAACTTTAGGTGTTTGGCCTCTCTGGGTCTGTAGGGTCTTTGCAAAGAAAAAGTGAGAAACTGCTTATTTCCTGAAAGAGCCCCAAATACTAATGCCTGCACCCCACCGGCAGAGCTGCCAAGTCTGGCGTTGGAGTGAGGGTGATACAGGTATGAGCACTGGAAGGAGAAGGCGTTGGCATGATGGGATGTACCCCTAAAAACTTTGGGGGTTTTGCCTATGGCAGGGGGGTTGGAACTAGATGATCTTCAAGGTCCCTTCCAACCTAAATCATTCCATGATTCTATGATTCTCTATATGTTTTTATATATATATAACATCCTCCCAAGTGCTGAGATGCAGAAACTCCTGTGCTCAGGGTGGTCCAAGCAGCCTGTTGACTCCTCCAACGGTTCTTTCTCCAGGTGGGCTGTTGCCAACTCACCGATCCTCTCTCCTCTTTACTTTGGCTTTATAAATGGTTCCGCTTTGCTTTCGGAATTGCACCCACCAGAAGCCAGAAAGGGCCCTCGCCTCTTTAAATGGTTCAGAAAATCCAGTTGAAGTTGGATGTTCATATAAACTCACTCTCACAGTTCATCTCCTTGCCATGATATTATCCAAAATACAATTTTACAGTCTACAGTGTGAGTAGTTATAAAAGGTAAATTATAGCTCATGATTGTTTATAGAAGTCACTGTGATTTCTACCAGATTATTCTTTAGCCTGAGAGAAACAAACATTTTGAATCAGTTAGGTATCTATTTAAACGTAATCAATTACAAATTTGGATGCATAAAACTGCTGTTTTGCAATATGCTGTAGGCATGATGTACTTCCTTTGGGATTACTTTGATCTCAGAATAATTAAATGCTGGGATATACATCATGAAGTGTCACGTGGCCACTTTAAGGTGCAGAATTTGCTTATGAAGGAACACAAAAGCAGCACATTACCTCATAGGTGGTAGGTACAGGGTCTATCTCATGGGTTTCATATATTAAACATGAAAAAGGAGATTTCAACCAGAAAATATAATTTCCAGGAAGCTGCAGTAAAGCAGCTGGTGCTCTTTGTGTCCTGCAAATAGTAACAGCAGAGGTCTTTCTGTGCTCCTTTAAGGACTGTACAATATATGCAGATTTTCTTCTTTATTTTAGCATCTAATCCTGTGAATACAACAATCTCCATCTTTGTGGATGGGAAGGAAGTTTCTGCGTTGGTAGATATCCTTCAGGGGAGGTACTCGCACTGCATTATGACTGAGTAGCGCTTCTCTACTCCTTTTAGAAGCAGTCATTTTTGGGGGAAAGCTCTTCCTCACAGCGCATTCAGCTGGTTCCCCTCGATACCAGGAGCACTGGGGGACAGGGGACTGGGAACAGGGGACCTGCCACAGGCACCCACTGTCCCCGCTGACCCAGGCTGGGGACACATGCCACCAAAGTGGTCCCAGCGGGTGACACTGGGGGGGCTGCTGGGCTGCTTTGACATCCTCAGCCGCAGCATGCGGCTGGCGGAGGGGCCGACCACCCTTGCCCCAAAGGGACAAGCTGCTGTCACCAACCAGCCCGGCGTTTCAGACCCCCCTCCGGCAAATATCATCTTCCCTGAAAGGTGGTGCTGGAGACAAGGAGGGAAACGATCCCACCGCTTGCTATTAGCAAAGGCACGGCTATTGAGGACTATTTTGTTTCTTAAACACAGTGAAGGAAAACAGCAGTACACCAGAGAAGCGGGGTTTCTGTGACATCCCCGAGCCCGGCACACAAAGGGAGACCAGGGTGAAAAAGGGGAGCCAGGTAATTTTATCACTTTTTACCTTTGGCCATCTAGAGTTTCCGGGCGAGCACAATGGATGTGTTTCTTCGTTAAGACCAGAGGCATCGGTAGGTCCTGAAAGGAGGTCCGCGCTCCGGAGCAGGGCTTGGAGCAGGGCCGCACTCTGCGGTACGATGCGTGGAGGAGTGCATGTGGTTGCGGGGCTTTTTTACACTCCTGAAAGGGCTTCAAAAATCACCACCGGCGTAGGAGTTCAGCCTGACGAGCTGCAACAACTCGTGTGCTGTGATTCCGGTCTCTCACATAAATAAGTACATGTTACTGGTGTTTTAAATATGCTTTTAGGGACACTTTGAGTGATTGACTTGATAGAATTTAATAGGTACCGTGAAGCTCTTTGAGTCCTTAAATAACTCCCTAAATGCTTATTTATGTGAAACGGTAGCTTTTGGATTCTTTTGTCCATTATACTTTAAAGTGCCATAAATCTCTATTTAGGTGTAACTGCACTGCCATCTTCCAGACTTAGGAAATTTAAAACAACATACAGTGTAGGGTTTGTGGGATATACTGGCATAGACTGATACAGGGTTTTTTCTGATCTTATTTTCCCCTTGCTATCTGAATCTTGATAACACTAAATGCAATTATACTGATTTTACAGGGAGATTATTTTATTCCTTTGCATCCAGTGAAAATCCCTATGGCAGTATTTTTTCAAGTCAAGCATTTTAAAATCCTACATGAGCAGTACCTCCTTTTTCTACATAGATTACTTGTTTAGTATTTACACCAGACAGTATTTAAAGTTCTCATCACAAGTGAAAGACCCCCAGTATTTTAAGCTGAAAGCAGAACAAATTCCAAAGATTTCTTTTTTCATTTTTAGGTTTTATTTGTCTAAAGAATTTAATTCATAATTCTTTCTTTTGCAAAAAAAAAAAATAATATGCAAACTAGCATCCCAAATGTGGGCACATTAAATGTCACCTCCCAGCTTCCAGGATGGTGGCAATGTCCCTAGAGTGGGCTGTTCCCCACGGCATCTGAATAGCAGCATCTCCAGGTGGAAAAAGATTCTGATCTTTTGTATTTTTGCTTGCTTTGTAGTGGTGTTTTCACACTGACAGCTTAGTTCTCAATAGTCATATGTGGCATAGAAAAATGTGACATTATTTAGGTGGACATGTAATTTGATGACCTGTGAAGGTTCTCTTACAGAGCTGTATTCTGCCTGTTTTCACATGTTGTTCTTAGTAAAGGAAATTTAACCTTTTTTTCCCTTTTGTGGATAAACCAGGATACATTGGGAAGAGAGGAATACAAGGGCCCCCAGGAGGAACTGGACAGCGAGGACCAAAGGGAGAAGAGTAATCAGGTACTCAGTGGTGAAGCAGGACATCCTTCTTGGAGGGAACAAACTGGTCCTGGAAGACCTCCAGGAACTGCAGTCTAGAAGGGGTAACTGGGTCTCAGAGGTAACACAGGACTGAGAGGTAACTGGGGAGAAAAGCGGTCCAAGGGGGACAGAGGAGAAGTGGGTGGGAAGTGCTGGAAGGGCCACATGGGGTCACCTGGTGTCTGAGGATTGTTGAGGCCCAAAGGAGACCCTGAAGTCCCTGGAAAAAGTATCCTGGAAAACATGGGCTGGCTGGATTTCCAGGTTGAAAAAGAGAGAAAGGACAGAGGGAAAATGTGGGAGAAAATGAAATTGTAGCTTTTTCAGTGTGTCTTCGAGAAAAAACCCAGCCTCCTTCTTTTTTTTTTCACCCAGCAAGGGTGAAGTCCTGCTGTCCATTTAGTGGTGCCTCTGAGGCTACGGCATACTGAGTGTTTAAGAGAGGAGAAAAAAGCTTGTATCTTGACTTGATTGATTTATCTGTTGTGCTGTCTAATATGGAAATATTCTCTCCTCTAATTAACAACATAGCAGAATATTTTCATTTCAGTCCATTTTCTGTTTAGCTCAATTGTTTTGTGATAATGAATGAACCAGGACACATTTCAGTTTTTCAGAAAATAGTTATTGGCGGGGAGAGAAGGGCCTCTTCCAGGAGGTCTGCTAAATTGTTGGGGGAAATCTTGTCGGAAGTGTTGTTTATTTACACAGAAATGTTGATTCCCTTTTAACACTTCTTATCCAGCTCAAGTGTAGTTTAATTCCATTTTTACCTACTTCCTATTCTATGTGAATATTTTATTTTCCAGTTTCCCATCTTGATACTTGAGCATTAAGATTTTAAATTACCTATTATTACAAACGTGGCTTATTTTCTATGCTGCTTTGGTTTTCACTGTTTCCCCCTTTATTGTATTTCCAAACCAGATTTTTTTAGTTTATCAGTTTACCTTCTATCCTCAGGTCTAAATTTTCTATTTTCATTTGCAAATGATTGGAAGGGGAACCCTCCGGGAGGTGCTTTTTGAATCTCCTTTGCTGATCTTATTTAAGAAATACTCCATTAATTTAATACAAAACATATTTACACAGTTTGCTGTGTCCCTCTGTGTTTCAGAACGGCCACCAAGGAGCAGATCCCACAAGGACAAGGTGGCTGTGGCCGCATCCAGGTTCAGGACCCCCCCATGCCCCAGGAGGAGCCTCAGGCTGCAGAGGAGGAGAGGAGGGGAGAGGAGAGGGTCTCTGGTGAAATCCTTCCTTTCTTCTGCCTCTCTGATAATGATGGGGACCTGGCATTGGGGTAGCAAGGATTAGTGGCTGCAAGGATGCTGCTTCCTTGGGGAATTCCTTTATGCTGGTTCAAGCTTCCTCCAGGATGCACTGGCATTCATGTCTTTGCTTTTGCCAAGCCCCAGGAGGAGCTTTTAGTCACCCAGCAGTTATGAGGAGATCACAGCCCTTCCTACCCGTGGCTGGTGGACATGGCAGGTAGAAATCAGTAGCATGAACGCGGCTTTCTTTTTTACTTAACTTTGCAAATCTCAGTCGAAAACAGTTATCTGCAAATTTGCAAGGCTCGGCGTGTGTTTGAAATGTACTTTGAAGGAATTTTAATGGCCCACATGCATCATTTATATCAGTAAAATGTAGATCCAGCTCCCCCGCATAAACAGAGGGATTAATCTAGTGCTAAATCTTAATTTACACTCTCAACCCATGAGTTTTCCAAACTGCTTCAGTAACTCAATAAGCACTGTATAATTTAAAACCCTGCAGTTGTCACATAATCTAATAATACTATTCCAGACTGCCACTATTCAAGCTATTCAGGAAAATACACTAACCCAGGATTAAAGCTGTGTTTCTCGCTTTAGCTTTAGTGTGCAGCAAATATGGCATTAAATTGAAGTCTGTGAAAGAGTGGCTGTGGTGAATATGGAGGCAACACTGTCAAATGCAGTAATCTTAGTTAAAAATGGGTAATCTTCCCCTGTGGAATAACTTCTGTTGCTAATGAAAAGTCCCGAGTTAAGATCAAAATAACGATTTTATTAGAATCGGTTTGATTGACTTTTATCTTCAATTTATATGTCCATGATCTTGTCAGAAGTATAACTGCTGAAGGCACAAATATTTGTAACTTCAGTTTAAAACATTAAGCCCAATTACAATGTTAAAAATGGTTACTAATTTTTAAAAGGGAACCATTTGAATTCAGGATCCAGCTTTGTTTTCAGCAGTGCGAATGAGGATCGGTGAGTGCTGGTGCAGGTTCCATTACAGGAGCTGTGACAAGCCCATGTCCTACACGGGGTTAGAGCATCTCCCTGCAAAACTCCTAATTGATTTCTTCAGAATAGCCTGAAAAGCTGGCGAATCAATCTAGCCTGGTATGCTTAGTAATAGACTTTCCTTAATCAACTTGTTATTGCTGAAAGCTGTAGGGTATTGTGCAGAAAAAGGTGGTCGCAAATAAATCATGGAGGATTACAATTCTCTCCACTTACATTAAGGGGGAATTGATTGTTTTCTGTAGCCCGCCTGAAACAAGCAGCCTTTCTTGTCCAGCAGCTGGGCTTTGAGTGTAGTGGTATGTAGTAAATTCAGACTGATTGAATGAGACGGTTTCCTTGCTCGTATTTCACCAAGACAAGGCAATGAAAGGCAGCCTCACATTCCTGCCTTTCGTACTGCACTCTGAACCGGGTTGGGAAATCTAAGAATAAACGCTGGCCCATTTTAAAGTCACTGGGGAAGGAAATGAGTGCTGTGATTGCTGGGAAAGAGCGAGGAAAATCAATTAGGCTGTGAAATCCAGAGGGGTTATCGGTTCCAATAAGAACAATGTTGTAGCAACCCTCCTGGGGTGGATTCATCCCTTTTCCCAGCCGGGTTTTGTTCTGCCACCAGCATGGCCTCCCGCAGGTACCCTGCTCTGCACCACAGCTGGAGGGAGAAGGCGGCGTTTGCTTACTCCGTCTCTGCATGTACCTGGGACAGCCCAGATTTGAGGCTGAATTCCCCTTTCGGTGCGTTTCCGTGCAGACACATGCACATGTGCACTCATGATCCCATACAGCTATTTCTGTAATATCTCTTTTACCCTTTCTACACTCCCACTGCAAGGAGGGGAGTGCGATGCCAAACTCTGCGCATCAAATACCGAGAGAGAAATCTGAACCCCGCCAAAGCCAAAGGACAAATTCACGCTGAGCCTGATGGTACCAAAACGTGATGCTGTGAGTTGAAAGAGGAGCATCCCTAATGCCCTGAAAACTGGTGTTGGGGGAAGAGCCAAAGAAGTCCTGTGTGAAGAGCAGTGTCCCAGTCAGGGAAAGCATTTGAATTTCCTCAAATTTCAATGTCACCTTGCTCCTTTCAGGGGACTCTGCCAATTCCCCCTTCTCCCCTCACCGTGCAGGCTCTCATTGGCCACGGGAGCAGCTGATACACAAATAAAACTGATTCTCTCCGAAAATAAGATTGTCTTTTTCAAAGTGCCATTGAGGGGGGGTCGTCCTGGAAGCAGGACCGTTTATAAGGTAGGAAACAGCACGCACTGGTCGTTTAGACTTCACGCGGGATATTTGCAATGAAGTCATAGAATTTAAGACATAGTGGCAATATAATTTGTCTCAAATTGACTAGTGTTTTCCTTTTGTGTATAAGAACTTGAAACAATTAGATAACAGAAAGTGCAATCATCTCCCTGATATTTAAACCTGGGAGACTGAGGGTCAATACCTGTTGTGAACTGGAATATCTAAATTCTGTAATTTTAGGGTCCAAACCAAAGAACAACTGTATTACTACAATGTTATTATGGGACACATGCTAACCATTAGTGGATTTTTAGATCAAACTAAATATAGATGTACTGAACAAGATGTCACTGTGGCAAAGTTTAATTCTTCATATTTTATGTCCACTGTGATTCATAATCTTTCCTAGTGGGGGGATTCAAATGAATGATTTTAGAAGCAGTGGTGGTAAGCTAATGTAATGGAAAACTTCAAAATTTCAGTTTTATTAAGATGCATTTATATATTTAGGAATACTTATTTTAGGAACAGTCTTGCCCATTATCATGAAAATCTGTTTAACGATTCCTTGCTCTGAGCAATTTATTTTCTAAACAGACCGGCAAGGTACAATTTTTTTATTAATGATGTTTTTCCAGTATTTGATGGCCGTCCATCAATCTGGCTACGGAACTGGAGAGTGTCTGAATTTAGAGCTTGTTGCAGATATTGTCTGTGACAGTAAAACATAGGAACGGGTTTGATTTGAAAACTGATTTACCATTTCCCCGTAAAGTTGCTAGGTCTCTAAAGCTGCAATTTCTTCCTTCTGGTGGCTTTCAATGTGTGGAAGTTATGGGTTTGTTATCTCCAGCAGTGGGATAACGCTCCTGCATGAGTGTATTCTTCAAAAAGAGAATTTAGTGCTTTTTTTCCCCCTTCCTAGACGGCAGATGACCCTCCTCTGCGACGGCGGCTGCTTCCCTGCTGCTGGCTGTAAGGTCTGGCTCCTCTCTGCCCGCCTGTGCTGAGTGCTGCTCGCCTGTGCCAAGCGCCCCGGAGTTAAACTCTTCATGGTAAGGTTGGTTGGGAGCAAATATGACCCTACGACAAAAATCAGTGCCCGGTATCCTGTCCTAATGGGACACAAGCATGGAGAAGGGATAATTTATCCCTTACTGGAGCTGATGGGGTGAAGAATGGCTTGAATGGCAGCAATGAGCAACGGTGATCACTGGGGATTTTGTGTGGATAATCAATTTTCCATTAAATGATTTGGTTTTGTGTGCAAATGGAAAAAAAATCACGACCCTGTCCTCTAAAACTGAATTCTTAAAGATGGAAAGTTTATAATCCAGCCCCGAAATACGTGACTTTTGGTCGGACCTCCTTTTGCCCTCTGGATGGCAAGGACAGTCAGCATTTATCTTGGTGACTTTTTCATGTAATGAAGTGCCTCTGCTGCTAAGGAAGGTTAGATTACAGGTTCAGCAAGAAAGGGAGTCTGTTCCGTTTGTATTAACAGGTCAGAACAGTGGTTTAAAAAGGAAACAAAGATGCTTTATATGACAAGTCATCTGAGAGGCGTCATCTGTCCTATAGGAAAAAACGTGTGCTTCTTACTGTGTTCTTTCTTCCTGGTTCAGCTAAACCGACACTTTAAAAATTAAAAGAACGGGCCTGAAAGTTTACACTAAAACAATATGCAAGTCCAGAAAATCAGTCAGTAACAAAGAAAAAATGGACATACAAATTTTTGAAGACTTGATGTTTCATTTTGTTTCCGTTTATTCTTTTAGAAGAAAGCTTTTTATAATGTGCAGTTGTGTTGGACTCTGGAATCATTACTGAATTATTCCTAATGATATACTCAGAAGAGAGACATCATGTGTCCCAGTGATTGTGTAACTCTCAGTCAGTCCCTTGAACTTCTGGTGGTACCCGTGGGAGCACTTCCAACCACAGCTAACAGCAGCAGCCGAACAGCAAGTGCTCTGTAGGGTGACGGTCAATAGGGGTGAGCCGGCAGGAAGTTTGGCTAATTTTGCTTTATTTTCCCCATAAAAAGTGAAGCTTTGTAACGTAGCCCTCCTGGCATACACCCACATGTGCCTGACACTACTCCTGCAGGTCTTCTGGCTTGTGCCCGGGCTGAAGGGTCGCTGCGTGTGGGTTAGCTGTGATGAGCGTGGCCGCATGTCTCTCATGCTAAACCAGGTGACTGTCTGGATTGAAAAATAAAAGTATAGTAAAAGGGATGCAGAGAAATGTGCAAGAAAAGAGATGGTGGGTGCAGAGTAAATGGGTTTTGTGGGGAACGTGCGAATAAGGGTGTTATACAGTGATTTATAATTGCATTCATCTTTTCCTACAGCTGCCAACATGTGGAGCTCAGTGGAGTGCGTCTCGGTGTTTGCGATGCTGGTTGTTACTGCCGTGCAGGCGGGAGTGAAGGTGACCCCAGCTGTGAAGTACACCAAGACGAAGCCCTTACAGATGGTGGGCGACGGTGTCTCTCACACCCCCCTTGCTGCCCTCGTGGAGAAAAGCCCATTCCCAGCAGCTCCGGGCAGAGCCGAGTTAGCCACCCAGAGCCCAGTGGCCCGAGGGGCCACCACACTCTTCCCCTTTGAGAACTACACGCTCGACACAGCCGATTTCTTCTACAACTGCTGTGACTGCTGCCCACCCACTGTGGGGCCTCGGGGGCAGCCGGGGGAGCAGGGACCCCCAGGTACGGTGATGACTGTCTCGCCGTTCTCGGCTAACCCACATAAACTGTAGAATCATAGAATGGTTTAGTGAGGAGTCTCCTGCTTTTCCTTCAAAAAACGAGTCATAATTTGCAAGATAATTATGCCTCGTGTAAAGCCAGAGCAAAAAAAATGCACGCTAGCCACATCCCAGAAGTTAGGAAACACCAATATGAGTGGGAAAGTCCCAAAAAGGAGCTTCCTCCCCACGGCACTCACTTTGGGGACCACACTGGGGTGGGAGCGCGTGCAGAGGTGGCCCCATACCACGTCACAGCTGGTTCTCGCCCCACGTGGCCATGCTCTTTGATTCTCTGTCCCTGTGTCCGACCCCCTGGGAGTTACAGATTTACTTTCACATTCACTTCAACCGTGGTTTTATGACCCTCAAAACCACCTGCAAGCAGTTTCGTGTCTTTGCTGAAGGTTTATGATAAAAGCCTCTTTTTCTTGGATTTTTTTTCTGCTTGGAAAAGAGGAAGTTAAATACAAAAATAGTTTTGGGTCCAAATTTGAAAATAATTATTTGCTCTCACAAGAGGCGGCTCTGTATAGAGCACCTAAATATTTTATAAGACGTACTTTGTCTCTTTTTTCTACTCCTAAAATACGTATCTATAGAGCGCCTAATTCTAATACCGTTGTAATGAATAGTGCATTAGTCTGCAAATGTTCACTTTATTAGCAGTAATATAGGAGATAGAAACTATCCATCTGAGGGAAGGTGGTAAAATCATGAAATAATTTTCTTTTAATACAATGTACTCGAGGGATTTTCACTTCCCGGAGCTCGGGAGGGATTGGCTAATGGAAATTACAGTAGCTGCAGAGGGAGTTTGCACTTGCACGCCTCTTGAGTGTTGATGGAAAAGTCCTTGTGTCAAATAGGTTGTGTTGTGATGATTGAAACTGCCATAGTCTGCTCCCAGACGTGCACTGGGAGTCTCTAGATTCCCAAGTGGATGAAAAAGTAAAAAAAAAAAAAGATTGAAGCCAGCTTGCCTGCCTTTCAACCCATCCCTCATGCAGCGTGGAGCCGTCTGCCAGGTTCCACTTTTATATTTGCCGACCTGATTCCTTTTAAGGAGAGGGGCAATTACGAAGCTATGGGAGCTCCTTGGATGCGCTCAAATATTAAAGACAGATTACTTCTGATGTTTTATGAATGTCTGAGCTCCTGTGGCTCTGAGGCAGCTGAAAGTTGGTTTTAAAAAGTCTTTTACTACAGCCAAAATGCAGAACTGAGATTTGGGGACTGCAGTAGCTGAAAGGCAAAGGCTGGGGAGCTGTGTGCCTGACCAGAGGACCTGCGAGCACGCACCCCATTAATCCCGCACGAGCAGCACGGCGTCGCCCCTACTGCCCCTCGCCTTTCGCCCCGATGTAGGGTTTCAGCTGCGGTGTCTGCAGGGCGTAGCGGAGCAGGGCTCAGGCCAAACCCGTCTGTCTCACCTCTTCTTTGCATTGATTGCATGATGCCAAATAAAATATCCAACTCTTTCCAGGGTGATGGAAACAGTTTCCCCTACCTGGTATTCCTCCATGCCATGTTGCTTAGCTGTTATTCTGAATTTTCTTTATAAAGCTAAACCTTTGAGTTAATAAGATAATTTTGTTGATGTGATTACATTACAGGTCCCAAGGGGGAGAAGGGAGATGCTGGTCTGCAAGGTCTGCCAGGAAATCAAGGTCCTCAAGGTCCAAAAGGTTCTAAAGGAGAAAGAGGTAAAGTAGACTAATTGCTCATTTCGAAAACAGATGCTGTTGTCCTCATTGAATACCATGAAGTTACAGGAAAACATATTTTTCAAAGGAAAGGGAGTATGCTCATATGAATTGACACCCTGAGAGATCTAGCTGGCATTAGCACAGGGACAATAACTCAGATGGTGGCAGCGTACGCACAGGCGGGATAGGAGCAGCTGCTCATAAAGATCTCACTCGAAACTCCTTGTTCGGAACGGGAGTTTGAAAACTGAGTTCCGTTTGCTCTGGATTAGGGACATAAGTAGGAAAAAAACCGCCATGGAAGCTATGTGCAGGTGTAGAAGCTGCATTTCAATTTCAGTATCTCAAGCAAAATGATTTCAGCAAAGATGGAGAGCAGTTATTATCCGTCAGTAGTAACTGAAAGGAAACCCAGCCCTTCATTTCAGGCTTGGAGCAGCTCTGTCCTGCTGCCACACGCCACTGGCCTTGTGGCTGCCTTCAGGCGTGGAGTAATCACAGCAAAGCTGATAATGGGGGTGGCAGTAGCATCGTGCTGCGCAGTTCAGTCAGTGCGGTCTCTTAGGCTTTGATTCACTTTCTGAACAGGACTTTTGGCAATCCTGGAGTGAGAAACGCAGAGCTGTCATCTTCTCCATCTTGCTGTTAAACAGCAGCAACTGCCTCCCAATGAGGCGCTGATTAGAGTCAGAAATCCAACATTTGGGTGAGATGCAGTTGTCTGCGTGACGGTGCTTGGTGCTGTCAAATTCAGCCGAGGTTTCTGAAGGCGTTTCTTGAAAACGCATGTTGCTCATATCTGTTTTATTAATGAAGTGAGGGACACGTGCAAAACGGTACCAGTCATCTTCTGTGTAACGATTGCTGTGCTGCAGACAACATCACCAACAGTATATTAATGGTGAAATGTCCTAGGAGGCAAAGGGGAGCAAGGCGAGCGAGGAGTAAGTGGAAACCCCGGTTATCCAGGCAAACCTGGGCTGCAAGGTATGTGACACGGGCTGGGAAACCCAGGAATATTGCGCTGACCTTTCCCTTTGCTGTTGATGATGCCCCTCCATCTCCAAAGCGATCCAATACTAATGTTTTAAATCTCTTCCCCACCCCCCTACTTTGTCCTTTTCCTAGGTGAAGCTGGAGTAAAAGGCAGTAAAGGCAACTACGGCTTCCCTGGACTGAAGGGACAAAAGGGTTCCAAAGGGGACACTTGTGAGAATGGGACCAAAGGAGACAAGGGAGACAGGGGGGATGCTGGAGACCCGGGAGTGGATGGAGAACAGGGTGACAAAGGGGAAAAGGGAGACACAGGGGAGAAGGGGTACTGCGGGGAGCCAGGGGGGAGAGGTGCGAAGGGGGAGAGAGGGGAAGGGGGGACAAAGGGAGAAAAAGGGAGCAAAGGGGAGATGGGGGTTGGGGGTATTCAGGGGATAGATGGCAAACAGGGAGAAAAAGGCGAGCAAGGAAGTAAGGGTGAAAAAGGGGACCTGGGACCTGCTGGCATGATGGGACCTTCTGGGCCCAAGGGGGCTGCTGGCAGCAAGGGGGGCCGAGGGGCCCCGGGAAAGAAGGGCTCCCGTGGGGCAAAGGGTGCCCGAGGGGACACCACAAAGGTCCTGAGATCGGCGTTCAGCGCCGGCTTGTCCAAGCCCTTCCCTCCGCCCAACGTCCCCATTAGATTTGACAAGATCTTGTACAACGATCAAGAAGATTACAACCCTTCCACCGGGAAATTCAACTGCAGCGTGCCCGGGGCATATGTCTTCTCCTACCACCTGACGGTGAGAGGGCGTCCAGCCCGTGTCAGCCTCGTTGCCCGTAGCAGGAAGGTGGCCAAAGCCCGTGAGACGCTCTACGGCCAGGAGATCGACCAGGCATCCTTCCTGACCGTCCTGAAGCTGAGTGCGGGTGACCAGGTGTGGCTGGAGGTTGCACGGGACTGGAACGGGGTCTACGTCAGTGCTGAGGACGACAGTGTCTTTACGGGATTTCTTCTGTATCCGGATGTTTTTGAGATCCTGCTATAGATTTAAAGGGCAAAGAAACTGAGAAACATGCCTTTCCCTCTGCCTGTGAGAGGAGAAATGAGCATCAGTTTAGCATATTGGCTTAGTTGCTAGGTTTTGTGATCTTTTAACAGAAATCTTTATATTTGCAAAATATGGATTAGTTTTTACTAGCAGCCCCAAGAAGCAGCACAATTTGCGCAGGTGGGTGATGGCTAAGAGAAACCATTGTCCGAACGCCAGCAGGACCAGCACAGGGAGGGGATTTTACATCACAGACTTCAGGTTTGTAATTAATCTATTCAAATTATGTAATAAAACTCGTTGTCCAATGACAATTTTAGTCAGGCCAGCTCCTGCAGTCCTCACATGGTCAAAACTCCTCCGGAAATCAGTACTGACAACCATTGATTTTGGTAAAGATTGTAGAGTTTGATTTATAGAGCTTAATCAGACGTGAACACGAGCAGTAGGTTTTTTGAAAAGATTTAAAGATATTTTATCACTGAATCAGTATTATCCAGTACTTTAGACTTGGTCATGAAGTATATAAAGGTTTGTCTAAAAGAGTATTAGAACTCTTTTAGAGTATTAGTATTAGATCAGTGTAAAAAAAAAACCCAGCCTAATTATTTTCCATAGGCAAAAATACATGTGAAACTTTCAAAAGTATCTGAGAAATGCATAATCCACCTTACGGGGCTACTGAGAAGCCCCCTGTTTCTGAGCCACTGCCGATACAGCTGATGCTGTGGGGTCGGCCCTGGGCTGCGGGGAGGCACTCACACGAGTCCTAAAGCGTTGTGACGGCCCAGTGGACGTGTGGGCACGCTTTCAAAAAGCTGCTTTACCAAAATGCTGAATCTTGTGAAATAAAAGTATGGCATGAAATAATCCTTGGATGTCAGATTGGATATATTTCCTTATTAATGCCCCTTCTCTCATCGTAGTAACTTTACGCCCCCATTGGTGTATTAACTGTGGCAGGCAAAAATGTTCCAATCACACTTTTTTTCCATAGAAATAAAACTCAAGTCTCATAATTAGCCTTCAGTGGTGCTGGGATTTACTTGTCTTCTCAGGCAGTCACAAGCCTGGGACGTTTTCCCAGTGATTTGATGAATGCTGGGTCTGACTCCAATGCAGACGGGGCGAATTAGGCTACTATTCCCATTGCTTTCAGTTTCCTTGCTTAAATTCCATTGTGCTTTCCATACCATATTTAAATACCATCATAAATCATGTCCCTGTCCCTAATGTCTTCTTTTTACATGGCACTAAGATGAAGAGTTCCTGAGACTTTTTTTTTTTTTTTAATACTGTGAGAAAATTAACACCAGAGAACTGCTGTTAAATTTTAAGATAAAAACAAGGCAATTTTAAAAGGCTGATCCTATCTGTCCGGTGAATGTAAAGGGTCCTTCAACTCATCAGCTTTGCAGCCCTCTTTCAGTATCAGCAATTCAAATGTGAGGCGTTGTCAAAAAGTTGGTACTTAGTGCTTAATCCGAGTTAGTTTCTATGTAGTTCAAGTCCAGAGTACTAAGTATATAAAAGATGCAGATTTCAGTTTATGAATTCTCCGGCAGCTGTTAAATATTGAGGAAAACCAAGAAGTTATAATAATAATTTTGGATTCACTGCTGTCACAACACCCTCAGTTCTTTTGTTGTGCCTTCATGCTGCTTCCCATCCGGCCCCTGTAACAGATGGTGGTATATGGACATCTGACTAGCAATTTTCTCTTCTCGCACTGTAGTTTTTTACACTTTTTGTAAAAATAACCTCTACAAACACTCTCGAAAAAGCAATGCAAAAACTCAGGGTCTCTCAAGAATCTGCTCAGATCTAATCCTCTCCATAAATTAATTGCCTGGTCCTCTAGAGAAAGGAAGAGCTGGCAGCACCATACAAACTGGAAGAACGCCTGCTTCTTTCCAAAAATATCTGCATAAAGTAGACCCATGGAGAAGGCAGCCAGGTTAGGGGACTTTGAGCTGCTTAAATCCTGCAAAGGTGCTCTGAGAGCAGGTTAATAGGAGCAGCTGGAGGCAATTCAGACCCCGGGGAAGGCCATGGGATGCATGTGACACAATCTCACTGATTTCTAAACCCCCATAATGGATACAGGAGGTCTGCGGTGGTAGCTTGTGCTGAGGATGTATTTTAGCATTAATTTAACAGCAGTGGAAGGGATTTCTGACTGGGAAGGCAAGATGCATACATACAAGTTACTGAAATAACACCCTGCTCCTTCACATTCCTAAGTTTCTTAGGGTCTACAGCTTTGCCAGTGGTACTTCGAGCTTAATTTAAAGTATTGATGTTTATTTTGGAAGCAGTATTTTTTTTTTCATTGAATTAAAATGCATTAAACAAGTATTTTGCGAAGTCAAGTGTGTTCAACACAGTGAGGGGTGGTTTGCATAAATATGGATCTTTGCAGAGAGGGAGTTAACTTTATCGAATATCAGATTGAATAAGCAATAATGACTGGAAAGTATTGTTTCTCTACATTATTATTTTTTCTATTTTGTTATCTTGGCCAAACCGTGTGTTGTTTGTTAACTCCAGTACCTTTAATCAGATCAGCCCACAGCTGGGCTCAAAAATTGCCCCAAATTAGTTGAAATTTTCAATACAAACACCAACACCTCCTCCTTTTACAAGCAGAAGCTGATGGGGTTGGTGCCTCAGTAGGGTGTTCTGTCTTTTAAAGGCCATATGAAACCTCCCTGCTCAAAGGGTTTTGGAGCTTTAAACACCAAAATGTTTAAAATTGAAAAGAAGGAGAGGGGTAGAGCTGCCACCCAGCTGGGTAGGACATGCTGCTGCGGTGGCAGGTCTGGCCAGCTCTGCCTCTGCCTGCTCCCAGGTAGCTTTCCCGAGACCATTTGCCTAGAAAACTTTAATCCAAGCAGTTTTCCATTTTAAAAAGTTTTTTTGTTTTTTGTTTTTTTTTTTTTTTCCAATGGCATTTGCAATCTCACTGCTGTGGAGTACTTTGCGGAAGCGTTCTGCTGCAACAACTCTTAACTGAAGCAAACTCTTCTGTGGGAAGTTTGGAAGTATTAAAAAAGTCCTCATTTCTATATGGCTTTCCTCATTTTTCATGCCGTGTCAGAAGAACAGTGAACGAATTGATTGAGAATGTGCTTTGTCTCCTTATGTAGCACTGCTAAAATAATGCCAAAATATCTGTTCCATTTCGTTTCTGCTTCTACTTAGCGCAGATTTATTCTGTAAAACTGAGCATCTCCTGTCTGTGCTGCAATGAGGCAGTTTGACACTGGTATAAGAGAAAATAAATGCTCAGTT